AGAAAGGAACCTGGGTCAAGAAAGGCACTGTGAAGAAGGAAGAGTCCGATATGCCGGACGATCCTTCAGCAGCAGCCTCATCATCTGCAGCAGTCAAGAAGGAAGAAAAGCAGAGCACAAGGGTTTGGTCCTCCCGAGCGCGGTCACGAACGCCAACTCGTACTGTCCTTAAGAAGGCTGACCATACGCCGGGAGCCGCCCGCACTCCATCCGAGGGCCGCAGAGTTTCGTTTTCCGATATTCCGGAAACGAAGTACATCGCAGCATCATCCAAGAAGCGTGCGACCTCGCGAGCGCTGGAAGTCATCAGCGATGCAAGGAAGGCACAGCAAGCACCAACTAAGTTCCATCATCGCCCAGAAGAGATGACTTGCCTTACCTGTGCAAGAGCTGAAGTGCTCTTCTTCTGCCGAGCATGCCGACATGGCACATGCCTTGACTGCTATCATGATGTCAGTAACCACTGCTCATGTAACAGCATTTATCTCTGTTCGACCGTCCCAGACGCCGATATTCCGGCACCGCTGGGTGAGCGCGAGCGCGAAGAGATCACGGCAGAAATTGATTTCACGATTCCCTTCGCAGCCGAATCCGAGGGTTGGCACCCGGATGACCGGTATGCCGGCCGATTGCACCGTTTGCAAGAAATCAAAGATCTTGTTCTCGGTGGCGGCTCAACAGGTTATGCGGCGATGGATCGAATTGTTCTCGAAGGAGTCAGCAAATACCATTACACGAACCATCCAACCTACAGGAGCCGTGCCATTCCCTCGATCGCTCAACACTGGGACGAACAGTCCGATGTGGCACCATACCCAATCATTCGGCCAAGCTGCTTTTACGACTCCAATCGCCGATATACCGGCGCGGAGATGCGACAGATTGTCGAGTTAAGCCGTTCGTACATGCAGGGATATCGCGCGAACCAGGGAGACTTTGATCTCGATGAAGCAAGACTTCTCCGATCGACTGAACACGTCAGTGTCCTGCTTCTCAACTTCGGCGATATCAATCGTACACCTCACTTCAACGGCAGGCAGCCACTATCCAGGGATCTCGCCGAGACCAATCAATACGCTGTGCTTCCGCATTACCTTGTCAGGAACACAGCTCATATCACCATTCTTCTTGAGGCCAATGGCATCGAGCGTCATCGAGAGCTCTTTAACCAGTACAAATGCTTGAGCATTTTGGCCATGGCGGATGGAGAGTCACCTGCGATCGCAGCAGTCTGTTCCAGTGATCCTCTTGGCACTTCGAGGCTGGAACTCATCCGCCGGATCGAGCTTGAAGGCGAACGACTAGCCTGGGTAGCCCATGCCGCGACATTCCGCGTGATCTGGGGAAAGGTCGAAGAATCCACAGATGGAGGCATCACCGATGACCGTGGAGTCCGAAAGAACCTCCGTGTTGCCCTTGAAGAAGGCGCTGATCCAGCAGATAACATGGAGGCAACAGTCTGCCCTGACACCCTAGCTGTAGCACAAGCATCCACCACTTACATTGAGGCTTCGCCAGTGGATGCAGAGGCATTGTTCCACGAGTGTCCGGCATTCCGGACCGGGAGCCTGAACGACTGCAAGCGCATGCACATGCCTGAACTTCGAGTTTGCGCTTTCCATATCAATGCCCATGCCTTTCATTCAGGTATTATGGCCGGTAAGAACGCCATTATGAAGATTTTGATCACGGCCGTGGCAGACCAGGTGGACGTCATCGCGTGCGATGCTAATCAGTTCACGAACCGCAACTTCCGGGGCGATCGACATGCCGATCCAGGAACCGGAGCTGTCCTCACCATCCTTGACCAGATCCTTGTTTCTGCGAACAAGAAGCGTGAGCCGAGCAAGCGCATCACCTATAACTGGGAGGTCTCAACCCTCGCCAGTGAGCAGCTCGCCGCTTTGGAAGGTCTGGATGCCGATTGCGACTGCTTGTTGCAGATCGCCTTAAATTACGGCAAGGACATGCATACGTTGCGGTCAAGGACATCCGATATTCCGGATGATCGTGGACGTGTCGGATATGAAGGACCTCCACGCCAGAAGGAGACTACCATTAAGGTCAACGAACTCCTTAAGCACTTGAATCACCTTGATCTGTGTCTGAAGAGCAGCGATTTGGGTTACCACCACCCATTTCAGTGCAATTTTTCACTTGCCAGCCGACGCAAGATCAGAGTTCGTGGCCAGCAATCCGCCGAGAAACGTGGCGAGAAGAATGCCGAGCGGGTTGAACGTCTGAAGGAACAATCTCGGCAGAAGAAGCAAGCTCGCCAAGCTGGCTGGCACCAGCCCTGGTCCTCGGGAGCGTCAAGCTCATGGTGGTATACCGGTTCATCTTCGTCATCTTGGAATACCGGTTACCGAGGCTACAGGGACTGGTAGGTAGTCTCTGCTCTAAGAAGCCGATATGCCGGCTAGAGCAACGCCGAAGCAAGTAGTCGTGAAAAGCCGATATTCCGGCCGACTACAGTAAATGCCACAAAGCTAAATGCAGTGTAAAAGACCCAGATAAATCTGAACTAAAGGCCTTATAGATTTGACTTCAACTTGATGATTTAACTTGAAAAAGAAGATTTCCGAAATTCCGGAACGTTCGATACAGCAAATATGCCTTTCGTAGATCTAGAGAGATTATCTGACGCAACCTAGATGAGCCAGAATGGCATCTACGGTTTAGTTCTGCGAAGACAGAACTTCTGAATTCATTTCAATTCTTTTGCGAACCTTTTGTACATTAGCGATCGTAAGCTTCGACACGAAGAAAATTTGTGTCTGTTTTGTGTTTGTAGTGCCCTAGGTCCCCTAGGCGTGTCTACGCTATACATGTGTAGCACCTGTTCTTTGTATATAGACTTGTATGTAGCTCTTCAGTCCGCTATCGACTTAATTCATTTGGCTCAAGACTTAGCAGCCCAATACTGCGTTCACTGCCATAGAACAGGTGTGCATCGCTGCCGCTCGCACACCGACCGCACTCGTGTGACTGCTTGGTGTTTCGATCAGGTCCAGTTTAGCCAACTGCCACTTCTGGGGGAACTTACCCCTCAGGGGGTGGGGGGGGTGGGGGGGGGAACCATG